ACTTTTTTAGTTCCATTATAACAAGTTTAAACTGTGTGACAATCGTTAACTCCTCAGGAAGATATACACAGATTCTCTCATGTGTATTCAGTGTAGACTTGCTGACACCTACGGACAAACTCTATAACCCTGACTGAGTTGCCCCTTTGTGATCCTTTCATCATGAGGAGAACACCCCTTTCACTTACATCAACCAACGCTAACATCTTACCTGTGCATATGCTGATTCAGTCTAGGGGCCCCGCCTGCCCTACCTGTGGATATGCCAATCCAGCCTAAGAGGCCCTCCTACCCCCTTGATAACTTGAACCTTGGTGTTACACTGCTAGACCACTAGAGAACGTTACCTTTTGTTTCTAATTTCCTTTCCTGTCTGACCAAATATCTGTAACCCCAGGTATATGAAAATACAGTTGTCCATCCCATTGTTTTGAACTGTATAACTGTCTCCCTGCCTACACTCTGGGTCAGTCTACTGCCTCAGACCTGCTCTGTGTCAGTTGGCTCACCGTATCCTGGGATACCAATAAACTTACTTTACTACAGCAAACTTGAAACTAAGGACTTGAGTGAATTTTCTTCAACACTCCCTATTGTATTTTAGAAGAGAATGAAAGAAATCTAAGTAGGAATCAAATGGAAAGTTCTTAAAGCCGTTTCCTTCCTCTGCAACATCGAAGTGTTAGAAAACAAACTAAGAGAAACCTGAATTAGTTTTGCTGATCACTAAGATTTAATCAAATGATATAAGTTTTAAAAAACACATGAAATACAACTACTCCATGTATGAGCTAATTTGATCACTCTTCAATCTGACACAACTGCTGCTGCTGTTAAAAATAATGATCTTTATAACTGTTGCAGGACTTTTTCACATCTTTATGAAATGAGTTATTAGGCTGATTAATATGTTTTGTAGATTCTCTGTTTACTACCTACTGTTCTTTATGATTCTACCACAGTATTATTAAGCTGCTATAAATACACTGCTGCTCCTGAATGAATGAAGTGTTTCATCTAAACTTTTTGTGTTGTGTTGTAACAAGTTGACTGTGCTGAACACTTTATGATATAATAGGTCTTTAGGAGGGTCTGACTGAACCACACAGCTGACTGAAAGTGAATCACTGGTTTCATCCTCAGGACAAATCAAAGTGTGGATTGAACATGGCTGCGGTCAGTGCAGGCTGTGAGATTCATACAGTGAACTAACATCATCAGAGCACTTTAAAACTGTGCACTCCTGACCTCTAGTGGCCAGAGTCAGTGCAACATGCTGTCACATGACACACCTAATACAGTACATGGTTTACAGTGATACAAAACACTGTGTTCTTTACAACTTTGTGGATCTTTTTTACTTTTGTTATACAGGCTTCACACGACTCAAAAATAGAAAATATTCAGAAAGCAGCTCATTTTGTCAGAACAGAAGAATTTACAGGCTGAGCAACTGCTTCAAAGTCCAGGACGCTGTAACTGAAAATACATCCACTGTACTGTGAATATGGTGTAAAGTAACTCTGGTGTAAAAACACAGGATTACAATGTCTACATTTTCACACAACGATGGGGCAGGGGTGGGGTTGTGTCAATGTCAATGTTTCATATTTTTAGTTTTATTGACTCTTGTGTGGATTATCACCTCTGTTTAATTATTTGTTTATTTATTCATTGTATGAACTTGATCCCAGTAATTTCTTTTTTTCACTCTGTCAATTCCAGGTTGTTTCAATATTAAATACCTGGTACACTGTAGAAGTATTAGGACATAGTAACTTTAAGTTCAATTTAGCTTTTCTATTACAGAGATTAAACATTGTCAGTGACACATGACAGTCAAAGTGGCGGCATTTCGTCCTAATTACTTTTGAGATTAGGACGGAAGAGGAGGAGCTGTGTCAGGCTGAGGCTATACAATGGATTCAGTCATGATGGCAACCTGCTGACTGACCTGCAGCAGCCTGGACTCTCTCCTGATGTTTGTCTGAGTGTAAATGTGAGTTCCTTTGTTCTTTAGACCTTGTAGTATTTTGCTTGAGATGTCATGTTAAAGTTAGAGTGTTAGTAGTTGTAACACATGGTTTATATTTTCTGTTTAGATGAAAACCAGCATCGATTCTTCTCATCCTCCATTGTCTCGACCAGCTGCCACCTGTTCATATGAACCTAAAACACTGGACTAAACCACAGCTGGTTTGGATTGGACTTCTTCTGTTGTCTCATTGTACCTGGAAAGCTGCATACCTTCATACGGTCCTTAATATCGCTTCTTAACTTTTCAAAAACCCAGCGAAGCTTATATATCTGAGGCCACGTGAAGTACTTGGATGCATGTGAGGGGAAGTGGGTGACAGGATATGTCTCACAACAGCGATGGTAAGTCCACGTCATTTCTATGTAATTTCTATCAGTTATTTGTTACAGGATAAAGAACTGAGCTCAGTATATTGTTGTAGTATCAGTGAAAACTCCTGCTGCTTCTTAATGTGTCGGTTCATGAAACTGCGCAGCTGAATATTGTTTCTTCATCGGTCACATGTGGTCTGTATGTGAGGTCTGTTGTTCAGGCCTTCCTCAGTCGCTGCAGCAGAGCTCTTCTCTATAATATATTATACAACAGTATTTAGAAAACAGTCTGAGACTGGAGCAGTCTAACTGCTCAGAAGCTTCTAAAACAGGAATATTAACAAAGAATGGTTCAGCTGAAATAAACAGGAAATCTCGATCAGAGAACAGAGGCCCCGCCCTGTTGTAGGACTATAAAGTGACTTTAGGTGTAGCTGGGTGTCTGCTTGGTGTCTGCTTGGTGTATACTAGTTTTGTTAATAATGTTTTCAAAGTAAGAGAGCAACTGTAATACTGTAAAACCGATCATAAACTTTCAGTTTCACTTTTAATTAAATTTTTATAAAATGATGCTTCAAGTTCCACTTATCATGTTCATACAATCTTGTAAAACTTGTTCTCACATACAATAACTAGTCTGAGCTGAGCTGGAAACTGACTTTAAGCAGAACAATGAACTTTAAAACCTGTGCAGAGTCCAGCACCAGATCCTCTTATCTCAACAAAGGAAAGTAAAACAAAGGCTCAAACTTCTTCAAACCTCTTCTGCATCTGTGTGTTGACTGTTTAAAACTGGACAGAAACAGCTACAGTAACCAGCAGAAATGTGCAGCTGTTAACCAGGTAACTCTTATCCACAGTAACCAGGTTACCTGATGGTCAGTGCAGTTTTTACATGATTTACTTTTTGTTTCCAGATGTTCTTCTCCTGTTTTGGACGTTAAAACTCGCCTCATCCCAGATCACAGTGAGATCTCAGTGTCTTCATAACCTGAAACCTGCCAACCTTAAGATGACTTCTAGAAGAAATCCTTTGACAGCTGCATCTTTGTTGGTAAAGTTGTTGATTCCTGAACATTACAGGAAGCTTGTATCTATCCTCCTTTTTAGTCCCATAACATCAGTAGGTATCAGGTTATCAGGTTACAGAGTTATGTGTTATGTCTTCCCTAGAACAGGCCTTTTGAACATGAGTCCATCCTGCATTTTTGAGAAGGTCCAAAGTTCTTTACTCTTATAAATGTAAATAGAGGGAAAGATGGACACACATGTTAATTGGGGTTTTAATTGGTTTTAATTTTATAGTTAATAACAAACATTTAAGTGATAAATGCACATGGAAAAAGCCTCAATACATCATATATTTTTGAATTGGCTTGTAACAATCTTACAGTGTATAATGTAGCATTTATTAACACGTGCAACAGCTTTAAAACTGATTTAAATATATTTAAACTGAAAGAAGTAGGGCTGGGCGATAACACGTTAAAGACAATTATCGCGAAATAACTTTTCCTCGATAGAAATATAAGACATGGTCGATAAAACGTAGATAGAACTCATTCATCCATGTTTTGAGAGAAAACACAAACAGCCAAAGCCAATGAGAATATCGCTGGGCCGAACCAATCAGGGGGCTGGAATATATTTACAGCCACGTCAGGTTAGGTTGACGCAAACAGCACAGAGCGTTGGAGCAGTAGCCGGCGCACGTGCTAATGTTTGGGCTACCGCAGCCGTGCACACCTCCTACTTTAGGAGTGAGATGAAAGAGAAAGTTACGACAGAAAATGTTAACGAAAACTCAAAGAAGACACCCCAACGGACACAAACCAAGGTTCAAGAGACGAGGACTTCTTTGAAAAGAAGGGTCAGAGGAATTCGGTAGTGTGGAGACACTTTGGCTAATTAAGGTCCGATAAGAAGCAGAGTAGCATGCACTGCAAATTGTGTCAAAAGCATGTTTCCACAAAGACAGTTAATACCACGAATCTTTTTTACCATCTGAAGCAGTGCCATCCTCTCGAGCACGCACAATGCAAGACTTTACAGTCCCAGACGAAGCTTTTCACTGGTCACAATTAACATTTTAGTTTTTTACATATACCTATTTTATTTATTTGAAAGACAGGTGTATAATGTTCTACAGTATATTTGTCATGTTCAACTTCTGACAGAAAAAAATAATATTTAAACCAAAATTAACCTTATGATATCTTCACATTTCACTTAGGAGTAAAAATGAACCTTTAAGCTTGACAGAAATAGTGATTTGGTTTATATCATGATATATATCGATATCGACCGATATGAAAAACATTATCGTGATAAGATGGTTTTTCATATCACCCAGCCCTAGACTGAAGATATATGATTATATATCTGTTAAAACTTTGTCTCATTCTTCACAGATACTTATGATCAGAGTCTTCAGAGGAAATACCCTGACATGTCTTCCAGCAGAGTATCAGACAGGAAATGAATGCTGTCCTATGTGTCCAGCTGGTAAGATTCAATTGAATGATAAATGAAACTGTAGTAGACATCACTGCAAGTCACTTTGACTAAACTTACCTTCAAGATTAACACATTTCCATAGATAGAAAAATACTGCATGAAATTAAATTGTTGGTTTTCTTTTCAACAGGAAATAGAGTTAAAACAGACTGCACAGAGTTCAGGAGTACTTCCTGTCTGCCATGCATAGAAGGAACCTTCATGAATCATCCCACTGGACTTAAACAATGTTTTCACTGCACAAACTGTGATGCAGGTAAATTTCTGTTGCTATCTTCTCGTTATTAGTAGAAACTTGTGACTAAACCTGATTTAAAATCAGTAATTAGTAATATTACTGCAAATACCACAATGTGAAGAGACAACTGTTTAAAGACAGCGTCACTGTGAAGATGCAGAAATTTTGATTAACTTTTAAGTAATTTAAGAGCCAAGTCTCCAATGATGGCCAAGGGCATGGTTATAATAAAATATATGCTATCAATTCATTCAGTAAAAACAAAACTACAATAAGATAATAAATCAGTATTCTACAGCAGTAGTCAACAATGCAGCAGCTTAGAGGTGCATTATGTAGCAAGGAGTGAGTACAGTACAGAGAAGTAGCAAAGTAGTAAAGGATAATGAAAAGTGACTGTCAGAGTAAATACTGGAAACAGCTCACTTGTACACACAATTATAGAGTCTTCATAAAAAACCGTGTGTGTGTGTATTGTAGTTATGGATATGAAAACAATATCCAGGCAGTAATACGATGGATGGGAGTGTAGAAACATCTCAAAGAGGGTGAAGAGAAATGGGAGGCAGCTAAAGATCATCTTTAGTTTTCACGATATCTAGTCAGAAATAAAATGCTAGTTGTTCTCTAGTAGATTAAACACAATAGAAGTTTTGTATCTCCATCTGTAATCTCTATGTGTGTTGACAGGTTCTGGTCTGAAGATGAGGAGTTCATGTACAGCAACATCAGACAGAGTTTGTGAACCACTGGAAGGATTCTTCTGTATAGACACTAGAGAGAACAACTGTGTGGCAGCAAGGAAACACACAAGATGTCAACCAGGACAATACATCAGTCAAAAAGGTTGGTTTTCTTGTTCTGACTTTAAGATCATACTGTAGGTATAATTTTATAAAAGTCTCATCTTGGAGCAGGTCAGTTGAGTCACTCAGTCAGTCCGTAACTTTTGGATGATCGACCGACTGCACTGAGTAAAAAAGCTGGTTAGTTACAAGGTGCAGTTCATGTAAAGGAACAAAAATATAAAAAAACTGTAAACGTCAGAGATGTAGATCATGATCATGTAAAGAGTTTGCTCTATACTGTGAAGATTAGGGACCAAACACACTGACATCAGTGTTGTGGACAACTGTGCTTCAAAACACAAACATTGTTTTTATCTTCATAAATTACTTTCTTGTTTTATGTCATTACTCCGTTACCCAGACAACATGGATGTTAAACTGTCTGAAGGACAAAAGTTTACATGTAGTTTACATGTAGTTTATGTAACTTCTTGAAGGTCGAGTTGTTTACTGATCATATAAGCATAAATATCTGATGCTTAAATATCTGCATGAAGCACTGAAGCTGGTTTGTTTATGAAGCTGATGTGATTTCTCCTTTATAGTGAATTAAAATCCATCTTGTTCTGCTCTTATGAGAAAAGAGCTGCACTACAACATTTCATCAGACCTCAAATATTAAAGGATTAACTGTCATGTTGGGAACTGAAACAAAGAAAACTATTATTGAATGTTTTGATTTTCAAATGTTGGATTCAAAAATCTCAAATATTTTTAAAAATCAGCTGAGTGGAAATCAGACAGTCTGATGAAATGTAGTGATGTCATATCACACTGACCCTGTCATCATATGATGTGTACACTAGTAACTACTTTCAACATGTGTATCATTTGTTCTTGTACAGGAACAGCCTCCAAAGACACTGTGTGCTCTGGCTGCAGAAATGGAACATTTTCAGATGGGACATTTACATCTTGTCAACCACACACACAGTAAGTGAAGCTTCACATCAGACATAGACACATCTGGTTTCTCACACCTGCAGTGAATTTGAAGTTTCTATACATTTATAAAGTAAAGACTTCCCTCTATCGTTGCAGATGTGAATCAGAAAATCTTCAGCTGATAAAACCAGGAACTGCTGCAAGTGATGCTGAATGTAGAGAAAGAAACAGTTTAAATGTGACAGTAATTGTGATCGGCGTTGTAGTGCCTTTTTTAGTGATTGGCTTCGTTGTAGTTCTCTTTCTTGTCTGGAAGAGAAGAAAACGTCGAGCAGGTAAGATCTGTGTGCAGTCAAAGAAAATGTTATCATGGTTTAATAGATGATGATACTTTCTGGCAAGTCATGATGTTGTTGATTAAGACGTTTTTCATGGTTTTTATTATAGCTCTAAAAAGAAATGGAAGCCCTCCCACAGAGGTATGTTTGTTACTCTCTTAGTGAAACTGTGTGTATGTAAATATGCACTGTGGTAAATGACAATACTTGGTTTATCTCAGTAATTCAATTATTTCATCTGTTCATTAATATTTCACCAAAGACAAACGACCATGGAGAAGAAGCAGAAACAACAGAAACATTAAAAACAGAAGGTAAGACAGGAGTATATTCTTCCTTACAGTCCCTCCTGACATCACTCTGTGAAGTCTGAACAACTGTCCAAGAGGTTTCTGCTTTAAGTGAATGTATTTCTCTCCTCAGTATAAGAAACAACCTGGAGATAATCAGATGTGCAGTATCAGTTCACTGCAGAGTAAATGTGCTCTAGACCCCAGTTATAATCCAGTTTAGTGCTGGCACATTGTCTTTGCAGGGTACAGAAATAAAACCACAATAAAAACTGAGCCCACCCTCTACAGAGCTGCTGGTCTACAGTCTGGATCATGATCTCACACAGATGTTACTGCGCAGAGACCAAAGTCAGCTTGGAATACAAAACTTATATTATTATAATATAGTTTGATATTATGCTTCACATTGTGTCAACCAGGACCAGGTCCGTATGACTGATTACATATTGTGAAACGTATATTGTGCATACTGAAATTACTGAAAATGCCCGGCCCTGGCGTATAGTGGAGCAAATGAAATCTGGGGTCTCCTGAAGCCTTTTAATGAGTAGGCCTAATCAAGAGATTTCAGTTTTTAATGTTAAATAAATAAAAACTAAGAATGTTTTCACTTTCATCGTTTCATCACTTTCGTCATTGTGGAGGAATTATTATCTATTTAGAATTAACTCTACAATACAAAGTATAAGTATAGTATAAACTGTGCAAAAAGAGTTGGGTTTATTAGTTAAGTATATTGTATGTTTTTTATGTATGTATGTTTGCATCTGAAACATTTGGGTGGTACCTGTCGACAGCTCTGCTTGAGACGTGAATAACTGACATTTTCGAGGAGAGGCATGAGAGGCTTCTTGTAAGAACATGTGGCCCAATCACATCATTACAAATCACATCGACAAATATCACCTGCCCATCATCTAATGAAAAGAGGAGGAAACATTGCTATTTTAGACACACCAAAGCTGAAAAATGTTCAACTGTACTGTTTGACTTCTTTCCTCATCTTGTGATGGATTAGTCACAAGAAGCAAATTTAACTTGAGATGATTAAATAGAGAGAAAGAGGAAACATATACCACTTCTTTCTTCCCCCTCAAAAAACAACAACCACAGAGGGGAAGAAAGAATGTGACAAGACTTAAACTTGCAAAACTTAAAATTGCAATAATAATATGTACAGTATATTCCACCAGCTAGTCTCTAACTCAGTCTGGTGACACTGGTGGTGAAAGCAGTTCCCTACTGCAGCTGTCAAATGCTAAAATGCTTCTATGAACTGAGGGTTCATCATTACAAGCGACACCTTATCTATCACACAGTGCTACTGCATCCATTGTTGATAGAGGAGAAGCTTTGGCAGTTTAATTCTTCAAATATGAACGTTGTCTTCAGCAGCAGCTGCAGAGATACAGCGCTGGTGAACACACAGGGGAAGACATGTACAAACCTATCACACAAGAATTAGAGAAGAATTCAAGTCATCTGAGGACAGATACAAACGTGCCCCCCACCACACACACACCCCACCACACAAATGAACATTCACACACGTTTGACACCTACTTTTGATATTATATGGAGCACATGTTTTTTGTTTGTTTGTTTTTGTTGCCAAACTGGTTTTGGAGGGGAAAATTAGCTTCTTATGTTGTAAACTACTTTTGTGGTGTTGCTGTAGCTTAGCTTGCTGCATTTCTCTGTAGCTTTCCCAACACTGCAGCATTAACCTGAATATAAGACGGTATTTTCTCTAGAAATTAGGTCTGAAAAAGGATAGGTTGTCTCATATTTGAGGACTAGAAATGCTCACAGCATCAGATATTCTTCTAAAATAAAGTACAACTGCAACACAGTCTGCTACAGAGAACTGAACTATGTTATGTTGCTAAGCTAGTCGACATGTCCTGTCTTTGTATCCTCATACAGCCCGCTAGCCCATGTATGGGCCCAGTAGATGGATCTGAACGTGTTCTGACAGAGTAAATGTTTGTCATTATATACAGGCTGTACCACGTTAGATCGGTTATAGTTTCTAAAATTCAAATATTCAGTTCATTTCGCTCTAATGTCAGCTGTGTTAATATCTAGCAGCATTGTATACCAGCAGGGCGTGGTGGATGCCTACCATTTAGATATGTAGAACTCAGATAGATTCTCTCTCCATTCCGGTTATTTGTATTCCTTCAGTCCATAAGGGTCCACAGATCATAAAAATCAAAGGGGTTCCTTATAAAAGTATTCCAGTTTATGAATATCGTCATGAGAAGTCCAAAGCAGACGACTGAGCGATTTGTATCCGCTGATCTTCCCTCACTTCTCCTCACTCTCTCTCCCTCCGTCTGCCTCTTCGGCTGTTAGCGGGTCTGCTATTGTTTGTTAGCTTTCTGGCTACAAAATGGAGGCCTCCCTGTAAAGATCCAATCAGATTTCACTTGGGGTGAACTCAAGAAGCAGGGTTTCAAAACTCCCTGACTTTATCGTGAATCGTAGTTGAAGACTTTGTTGTTTGTTAAATTTGTTGGTAAGTTTTAACAACTTGATTTAACAACAGCTCCTGATTTTACGTTGCCTCCTTCCCTTTTCACAATAGACTATGTTCATCATTATAAGGTTTAGTTAAATTTAAGATAAATTTAAAAGAAAACAGAGAGGGAGGAAAAATAACTCCATTTATTCTTCAGAGAATAACAGAATCAAACAAAATCTCATTTACAAAGTGCATTGCTTGTACTGTATATAAGGCATCACCCCCCACACCCCAAGATTATAGCATCATTTAACAGAGACCTTACTTAATAAATTGTTCCATCACATTAGTGATTCATGAGCTACATTTACTCATTTCAGTGCATCAGTTCTGTTCACTTGACTTACTTCATCTGTTCCTCCAGCTTAATGGCTTAATGACTTTCATTACATTGACAGTATGTAGTTCTTTCCATCATACAGTAGATAAACTGTACTTCTGGTTTTCAGCAGTGGTGCATTTTCTTTGATATCCTGCAAATGTAATTTACAGGATTTCCAGTAAAACTTTTGATGATACTGCAAATGTTCTCCTCTAATATAATGTGTCCTATCCACTTTACCTTGGATCAATTTGAGGGAATTAACAAAAGGGTGTAATTTTCCTAAACTGAGAGAGCAAAAGAACTAAATTAAGTGAACAGATTTCTAACTTTACAGTTTTTTTCATCTAGATACACATATTGATAGATAAATTAATGTACAATATGGTGAATACATAAAGGTACAGGTCAACAGTTGTGTAATTTTCTGGGTTTTTTACCCCAAACCTGAATCCAACATGGACGGCCCTCTTTGTGTAGTATTGCTGGTGATACTTGGCAGGTTGGACTTCATGCATCCTAAAGTTCTCATCAGTTCATGAAGTAAGCTTGTCCTGAGAAAAATCTGCACAGGTTTATCATGAAACTACCGTGCTAACACTTGCAAGACAAGATGGCTGAGGACAAACCAAGAAAAGAACTTTAATTGAGATGTTTTCTGATTTGTGCCAGTTAATGCCAAAGACGTTGCACCATTGAACTCTCTTGACCTATCGACCTTCAGCAGGACCTCCACCGGATAGTGGTCACTGACCTCCAGCGCCTGAGCAGAAACCACAGAAGAAACTTTGCAAACCTCAGCACACATGGAATTGATTCATAGAACAGAATTAGGGTTTCATTTAGGGGTTTTTACTGTTTGAATTCAGATAGTTACACATTAGCTGTGTCCCAATTCGAGAGCCACATCCTTCAGCAGCTGAATCTGAAGACTGATTGCGTCACAGCGGCACGACTAGGCTGTCCTATTTTGGAGGCTCCTTCAAATGCGGTTGTGAAATATGTCCTTCGTTTCCAGGGCAATGAAGGAGCCAGTGGGAGGATCCTAACCTATCCCAAGATTCATTGCATGCTGGTAATGAAAATAATGTAGCGGCAAACAACAGCGAGAGAAAGCCCGAGGATTACGTTTAAAAGTGCACAAGCCCTCAGTTCTCATCAGTTCAACAACTATCAATACAACTGTTAGCAAAAATCCTCCATAGGCCAGACCATCTCATTTTGGTTTGGCCTTTGTCGCCATCGTCGACCACGAAGGCCAAGCCGAAATTTGTGGACCGCGTTCTCCAGAGGATGCGGCCCATGAATTGGGACACAGCTATTGAAAGATGAAGTCTGTTACCTGATCCTCCGTGAGTTCGTATTCTGATTGGAAGTTAAATGGTTTGGCCGAAAGAGGCACAATTGCTCTGGCAAATGTTTCCCCATGCACAACAATCCTGTTATAACACACAGAATGGACAGACAAACCCAAGTACATCAACTTTAGTGAACCGTAACAAGCGAATTTGCACAGTTGACATTTACATCGGTACAAATAAATGTTTTCAATAAACTGTGTGGACTTGTAAAACCACATGGTGTATTTTCCATTTGAAACAAAAACTTGGCTCTGTTTATTAAATTTTAATTTTGACTGACAGTTACCAAGCACATCACTGAAAAACATTCGACAAGGCCTGATGTTTATCGATCAGTATTGATCATAAAGTGTGATCATAAGCATGATGCTGTGGCCAGAGCCGGGAGTACCGGTACAGAGGCTGAGCAGGGTGCTGCTGTGGGTGGGGCCATCCGCGAAAACAAGTTTTATCCACTTTAAAAAAAAAATGCCCACAGAAGAAAGCTAGTATCAGTTGAAGTGTACATTTTATTTTGAATATTTTCACTGCTTTATCTTGCTGTCAAACCGCCTTTTCCTTTTGAACCACAGCTTGTGAACCGTTGAACTAGTCCTACTTGTGCATATGAATACGGTAATTCAACGATTGAAACGATGTAGTTCCAAAGGCAAGGGCTGTTTGACGACAAGGTTAAGTGGTGAAAATATTCAAAGTAAAGCGTACACTTGTTCCTGTGGATGGCCTCCTCCCCAGCAGTGCATCACTCAGCTTCCTGCTGCTTCTCCAAAGTGGGAGCACACTGAGTTATCTGAAGCTACTGCAGGTAAAACACTGACTATAGAGAAGCACCTCACACAACCCCACATCAAACATCTATTACTATCGAATTATCCCTTTAAGGAGAGTGAGCTCACCTGTCGTAGGCGCAGGATGTGGACGATCGCACAGTGGTGTCAGTTTTATCTTCAATGAGCCAAACGAGGGACTTCTCTGTAATCAGACGCACGTTCTTCCTGTTCTTCTTAGCGAGGTAGCCACAGTCAGCGTTGAAGTCCCCAAGAAGGATCACATTCTGCTCAAACACACACACACACACAACAACAACAACAACAACAACACTCAGGGTTATGAAATCTTAACTGACTGAACTTTGAAACTGTGGTATACAGTTCTCTCACCTCAGTTTTCCACATCTTTCTCACATCTTGCAAAACATCATACAGTGCATCAAGCTCCTTAGTGGTGTTGGTTGGAGTGGTGTGCTGAGGTATGAGGACAAACTCCTTTATTGCTGAATATACAGATGGGGTGGGAGAGAGAAAGGATGCAGGTGTTAATGTCTAAACAGCACTGTGCTTTTCATTTTCTTAGGTGGAGAAACCTGAGTGTGAGAAGACTGACTTGTCCTGGGGGCTTTGAAGCGGACAACAAAAGGCTCTCTGGAGAAAGCATCAACATCTCCTGGTCGAATGTCTGGATACTGATACTGGCCAGAGACGGTCACCGTATCGGTCCTGCACACATTCAGACACACACAGTACAACCTCAATGTTACTGTCTGTACTGAAGCTGTTTCGTAACATCGTGGTGCATCCAGCTGCAAAGTGGCACGACTGTGGACACGGACAATTCAGCTCACCTGTAAACGAACACATACTGCTCCTGGTACGATTCAGACCTGCCCAGCCGCTCACTGGCCACTGCATCATACTTATGGACAGAGTCAATGCTGAATATTAAAGAGACACAGGGAAATACAACCTTTAATACTGTTCTTTGAGTCAGCTGTTTTACCATGTGCACGTGTGTGTGTGTGTGTGTGTGTGTGTGTGGGTGTGTGTGTGTGTGTGTGTGTGTGTGTGGGTGTGTGTGTGTGTGTGTGTGTGTGTGTGGGTGTGTGTGTGTGTGTGTGTGTGTGTGTGGGTGTGTGTGTGTGTGTGTGTGTGTGTGTGGGTGTGTGTGTGTGTGTGTGTGTGTGTGTGGGTGTGTGTGTGTGTGTGTGTGTGTGTGTGGGTGTGTGTGTGTGTGTGTGTGTGTGTGTGGGTGTGTGTGTGTGTGTGTGTGTGTGTGTGGGTGTGTGTGTGTGTGTGTGTGTGTGTGTGGGTGTGTGTGTGTGTGTGTGTGTGTGTGTGAGAGAGAGAGAGAGTGAGATTAATCACCTGTTAAGTTGTATAAGCAGCTCCGGTAAAGCTTTCCCTTTACTGTCTCTGACTTCCTGAAGCAAACACACATCACAGCGAGTGATGATCTGGAACAACAGATAGAGAATGAAAAGGTGATTTGAAATGAAACAGAAAAAATGTGAAAACATCTTGAGCTTGTGTTATTCACAGACCTTATTTCAGTCATCTAACCAAAACTCCATTCAAAACACCAATAGACTTCAGGACAAGGGAACCACAGGTGCTAAAATGCTAATTTCTTTCCAGGTTTGCGGCACTCTGTACAGCCTTGCTTTCAGTTTGTCCCAGGGGGGTCACTTACGGTATTTCTTTGCACATACCAAATGATTACACAGAATGTGAGGGCTGATATGTTTGATGTTGTTGATGTTCGAGACAGAGGTCAAATAAAGTATCTGTCTTTTTCCTACTTTGGTGAGAGTCTCCATGACATCGGTCTTCTTGGACTTTGAATCCCCAAAGTGTTGGAGGTTGAAGGCACACACTCTAAAGTCCGAGCCCCCTTGAACACCCCTCACACCCATGAGGAAGGAGAGTAGGAGGAGGGAAGACGACCTCATGGCTCAGAGACAAGAGACAGTCACCTCTGGGGGCAAAGACAATAACAGTCAAGTTTTAATCAGTTTCAGTAAATCCAAAAAACTGCAGAAGCAGCCGTGACTGTGAATACACACTCTGTTTACACTCAGTACTACTGCAGTTTGCATAATGCATACAATCATAGATGAAAGGTGTATTGTGTATTGTTCTGTACCCCCCCCCCTTCTCTGTGGGTGTGTCTACCTCTCCTGGCTCCTGGCACACCTCCACACCTGACAGCAATCTACTGATCGGCTCACCCTTCACTCGTCGCCAGATTGTTCAGCCTGTTTCAGAGGTACCAACTCTCTACGCCTCCTTGTATCTATTTGAGTTATCTCTTTTGTTTTCTCTTTCTCGGGTTTTCTCCTGTGCTTCAGTGATCCCTTTTACCTTACCTGTCCACCCTTTTCCTAATCAACACTCAACTAAGTCCTGTGTTTGGATCTGGGTCCAAAATTTACCTAACTGTCACAAAATACTTAAATTGGCAGCAAGGCTCTGTCCAGCTCTCTTAATACATCCATGGTGCCCACACACTCCTGTCTGAGGGGTCAGCCCTGTCTTTGTGGTCAAATCAGGCAACCATGATTAGTGGAAACATTAACTTAAGAGTAAAATCAACTCAGTGTTAAATTTAGCTTATTTAGCTTTGCTTTTTTTTAACTAGCAAGAATACAAGAGCTTTAAAAGAATCACACGATAAACCAACGAAACCCTTGCGGCTACATAAAGTCCACGTGGTGCAACAAAGAAAGCCAGAAGATCAATGAGATAACATTTGGTTTTGTTTGTGAAGTGTAGACCTCGACCCTGCCTCTGTAAGCTCTGCTCTCAGTCCTCTCGGCCTCTTGTCTGATCCTCCTGTTTGACACAGTATTCACAGAGGAGCTTCCTGTTCCTGTTCTTAAGCGTTGTTGATGATTTCCCCAAACAGACACAGTTCTCATGAGCTCCGTCTGGAGGGCCAACAGATGTTCTTATTATGTGTTAATTTGACATTTGGGGAAAATACATTATATTGCCTTCTTGTTGAGTTAGATAAGAAGGTCAGAGGTCAGTACCACTTTCATATCTGGGTGTAAAGTATGGTGCTTGAGCCTGGGAGTGATTAGTTTAGCTTATCTACCAGGGGTAACCAGCTAGTTTGACTTTACCCAAAGTTCAAAAATACTAGCACCTGAAAAAGCTAGCTAACACAACATATCTTGTCTGCTGCACTGGTGTTGTTTTTGGATCACTTGATACAGGCACAGCTGTTTGTAAGTCCTAAAAATAGCATTACGAGTCATGTGACTATTGTGAAAGTTTTGTATAATTTATTTTTCATTTTGATAGGACTGTCATGAGAAGACAAAAAAAAATATTTTGAGTTATTTTTAAATGTTATTTTAATGGTCATGTTTTATTCATTAGTCTTTAGAATCAGCTTAAAGTAAACACAACTGTCACAATAAAAGCCCACGACTGCTGCCTCTGGTCTGTACTTGTATTATCCCACCACACAGACACTCAGACATGAGATCCTTTCATGCGCAGTCACAAAGTCTCAATCACACATTAACATGAAAATGGAGACGGTGGCAGATGCTGCTCTGCTCATATTCAGAGTTGCGTAACGCAAACATGACGTCATATATATGTATATATATACGTATACATGGGAAATTCATCTTTCAGCTGTGGGTTTTACAGTTTCTTGTGGCAAGGTTATTCAACCAAACATTATCTATCTCTTATTAACAACACAACTATATTAATAACCGTTACTATGCTTCCTGTATATACTGTCCCTTTGAAGCAGAGGACTTATGACTTCTACAAACCCTCCGTCAAAAAACACACACACATACACAGACACACTGACATACAGACATCTCAGGTTACAAGTCACATTCCCCAGTAAGAGTTATATCCTTGTCTCAGTCTTTAAAAGAATAAAGGTAAGTCAAACTGAAGCAACAGTAACTTACCAGCTTGTTAGTTGTTCGACTCGCAAGGTTAGTTTGTTTCTTGCCGCCTCCTCTCCTGTGAAACCTGAAGCTGAACCAGCCATGTTTCCTGTGGGAGGGACTTCCCTGTCTAACTGCAGGAGTCAGAGGAAACGGTGAGAGAGTCAGAATATCACTTTTCACTTCACTTGCTCTGTGTAAACAACAAAATAAACCAACTGTGCTGCATCCAGTCTGAAATAAGTTAAGAAAAACAGCTGTCACAAGTAGATAACACTCAGTTATTAGGTGAATTAGAGGTCAACAGTCTTTCAAAATGACAGACAATAAACAATATTATAGTTGAGAAATTTTACATTTTAATATTTCCTTGTTTCTCTATTAACTCTTTTTTCCTCAACCCCAAAGTCTCACATCAGTGTGAAAGTGAAATCGCAAGTTAAAGAAAGTGTCACTCAGTGTGTTACCAGGTAGAAAGCTGTCTTTCAAACAGTTTTTAAACTGAGCAATGCAGTTACAGGTTTGTAGTGAACAGTATTTTAGTTTTTGTGTAACTTTGCACCTGGTTTGTTCTTCTCTCCACCAAAGGTGCAGTTCTGAGTCATGGGCGTGAAGAAGAGGCGAGAGGAGGCGAGAGGAGGAAGAGAAACAGGGTGGTGTCTCCAAGTTTAATCTCTTAGTTATATGGTTCCTCTTATTGCAGGAAGAAATGCTCAGATATCATGTTTAATATTGCTGATTTTTTTTTACATTAAATTGCTCATTTCCAACTCTTAATTCACAAAGTACCATGTTATTTTTGTTTTTATCTGTACTAGAGTCTTTTTATTACAGAAATAGCTAAATACTAGTGTATTTAATGTATTTATATTTTATGTAATGTATGTTGTCCCCTTATGATTCATGTTTAAGATGCAAACTTCCTGTTAGATTATCAACAAACTGTTATAAAACCCCAATGACAGAAATGAACTAGTCTTATTTGGGCTTTGGGAGATGTGTCAAAAGTTCTCAAGTCAAAGTCAGCATCAAACACAGATATGGAGGATATGAAAATCCTTTGTTTTTAAACCAGATTTTACAGCTGATGTCCCCGAGACTTCAAACAGATGTGATGTGGTAATTCGTCTGCAGCAGATTTCTGAATCATCACAAACTGGTGTTTATCAGTTCTCATCATTAAGTATCAAGCTGATAAAACATCAAGTCTGGTTTGTGATTCTGGTTTCCATGAACACAAACAGAAAATGAGGGTTAAAGCGATCTTTAAAGGATACATTTCATTTTCTTTTAAAAGCAGCCAAAGATCTAGCAGTGATCTGTAAGATGAACCAGAGCAACAATACACAAAATACACCAGCTGAGGGCGCCAAAGTCAAGATGAAGCAAACTTTAGAGGTTGTTTAGGCTTTTATTGTTGTTACAGTTGTTCTTTAATCTTTAGGTAAAGTTTTTATTTTATTTTCTACCCTAAAGCGAACCATGAACCACCGAGTGCTTGAGGAGTGACGAGCTGAACTGTTGTGGTGAGCGGGAACTTTCCACTGGATGCGTCCTCCCAGGCAGATGAAAGGAGGCAGCTGGCGACACAGCGGTTTACATGTCAACAGTGGGGTCAGCCGTCAAAGGGACAGACTTCCTAGGAACACAACTGCTGAGCCGACAAGTCTAGGTGAGGGGAAGTCTGGAGCAGAGACTCCTCTCTTCGTCATCGTGTTGCATTTACTTCTTTGTGTTAACAGGCAACCATCAAAACAAATCTGATCAAACCACATCCATGTGGTTTTGAAGCAGATCAGCTGAGACTTAACGGAGAATAAAACACCCAAGGATGTTTTTAAACTTAGACTTATTACATTGGTATTTAACATTATAGAAAAATACATGATGTGACATTTTAAGGGGATGAACCTCATTGTACCCTCATCCAGTGTATTTGAACGGTTCATATATTCTTTTTTAAAACAAGTTTTAAACCAAACTGACCAGCAGCAGCTGGACCTTTAAGGCTGAGATGGAAATCATGTCATACCTGTTTTACACAAGTAGCCTCCATTTAATGCGTTATGCATTTTTTGAGTTTTAAAACCTTTGTGCTCACTGGTCAACTTTTGCTTTCAGTTTAATATTTGAAAAAAATGCAATTACCTGAAAAAGGACTAAGCCCCTGTGGTACAAACAGACCATGAAGTCTGAGGGCTAAAATACCAACTATAACCATCTGTTTCAGTATCCATTTAACAACTTGAGCTTTTTATTTCTATGATCTGACCACTATACAGTTTCTACTCTTCTGATGCAGCATGGCTGAAAGCAGACTCATGTCATCTGTAGTTTGCTGCAGTGTTGTTCACGGATTTGAGTTCAGATGTTTTCCAATTATCTATTTGGTTAATATGATGCAGAACTGATAATATCTCTTAAATGGCAAAGGCTAACATGGATCACTCTAGTAATGTTATGCTAACAAAGCCTGATATCATTTAATTGAATGTTTGCAGCGTCTTATCCATCTGCTGTTTGATAGTTAAGACATTAATAAGTGCAGTTTGTGTAATTTTATGCAAGTTTGTGGCGAAACCCTTACCTGCACTCTACCTACAAAGTACTAGAAAAAAACGGTCATAAAACTGTTCCGAGACAGACTGTATCAGACACTGAATAAGTTGCCTGAAATCCTGTGAAATAAAGTCAAAATCAAAGCCGTCACTTTTGTAATCAAACCCACTTTTATTGTTTGTGTGTTTCAGAGCCTAGATAGCGTGAAGGGCCTTCCAGCGGGACAGAGGGCCGTTGCTGGGGATGTACTTCACCCCACAGCCGTCAGGGATCAGACGCTTCTCAGCCATCATGTCATCGAAGTCGCAGGCGTTGAACTTGGTGAAGCCATACTTCTTGGAGATGTGGATCTGAGGGTGACAATGATAGAAGTCAATTCAGGCGCAAAAAGCTTGAATAGTGTTACGAAAAAAAAAAAAACACATCTGTAAATGGCTGAATTTACAGATGTGTTAAAGGTTTTGTCTCAGTGGTCCCTTAAAGCACTCAGCACCTCCCAGCTGAGGACATACACAACCAAAGAGTCACTGTCTGCAACCATTGCACACTGGAACCGCACTGCAGCAGGACCAGTCGGCTTAATAAGCTGCAGAGCTGTGCTATCTAAGTGTGTAAGAGTGTTGAGACTGGTGCTGTGCTCTTTTACCTTCTGGCGTCCAGGGAACTTGAACTTGGCTCTGCGCAGAGCCTCGACCACGTGCTCCTTGTTCTGGGCCTTGGTGCGCACAGACATGATCACCTGACCAATGTGCACACGGGCCACGGTGCCCTGGGGTTTACCAAAAGCACCGCGCATTCCAGTCTGGAGCCTGAGAAACAAGATGCAGACAAGAAGACATGAAGCTCGACCAGACCGTATTCAAATCATCTGGATTTGGTTCAAACAGTTTCAGGAACACAAACACTTCAGTCATTTAAACAACCCAGTACAACAACTCCTTAAAATCCCTCTCGGCAAAAACCATCATCATACAGACAACGGACTCACCTATCAGCTCCAGCACAGGATAACATTTTGTTGATACGGATGACGTGGAAGGGATGCAGCCGCATGCGGATGTGGAAACCATCCTTACCGCAGGTCTTCACCATGTACTTGTTAGCACAGATACGGGCAGCCTCCAGAGCTACACACAATCAGAAGTGAAACATTAGTGCCTCAACTTCAGCTTGGATGGACAGAATTTAAAGGACAATTTCAACATTTGTGGATGATTCATTTTTATGTTTCACATTTCCACAACACTCATTTTATGTGCTGCTATTTTTTTTTATGGGTGATTTCTTGACCAGATTTCTCAGCTCTCAGTACTCATGCATTAACAGCTATATGTCTGGTCATGGCTCCCTGACTTCTCACCTTCTGAAGACAGCTGCTCGTACTCATCAGAGACCATGTGGCCGCACAGGGGGAACTCATCTACCTTAGCCTTCTTCCTGCCCAAGTCGAAGATCCTGATCTTGGGATCTACATTCAAGGAAATGAAGAAATTAACAGAAAAGAATTAACCGCTGATGAATACTCCTTTAGGATTACATAATACAGATTGATTGATACAGACTGAATAATTGAGTGTGTTAATTAGGAGGATTACTTATCAAATCTCTGCTACATTGGTTAAATCAGACACATTCACACAGGGGGAGGCAGTGGACTATCGATTATCATTCAATGGATCAACAACATTTTTTTGTCTCAGTGGTCCCTTAAAGCACTCAGCACCTCCCAGCTGAGGACATACACAACCAAAGAGTCACTGTCTGCAACCATTGCACACCAGAAACACACTGGAGTAGAACTGGTCGGCTTAATAAGCTGCAGGATCATCAACAGCATGAATACTGTCAATTACTCTTGAGGTAAAAAAACAAACAAACAGTGCAAACAGGTAGCTGGCAGCTACAAAAAGACAAGACTTTGGAAGCTTACAACTATATTTAGTAACTTTACTGCTAAACCGGCTGCTGCACTGACCACTCCAACTATCTATCTACATTATCGGGACAACACTGATGCTGATTAAAGAGCAGGAACAGCTTACCAGGCACACCCCTGCAGAAGCGGGACTTGGGGTAGGGCTTGTTCTTGCAGTAGCGGTAGCTGTGGGAGACACACAAAAGTTAAATTGAATCAATTTAACCATACAAAGCACAGAGTCACCTTTGCTGCTGCTGTAATACTTTCTGAAGGATTGAGACTTTTCGTACCATCAACAAATCCCATTAAAAAGAACAAAATTAACAATGTGTCAGTCTGACCTTGCCCTGTCTGTAGCCCAAAACCCAGCCAGTCCAACAGGTAAACAGGTCACACATACAGCTGGACACTACAGTTTTAAACCAACATTACTCAAACAGAAGGAAACAATACATTTGTTGGGGGCTATTTTCACTGTTGGATTTGCCTACAGTTGGTGCTCTGGTGAGTATTTGTGGCCCTGTTCAGACATGGCATTAACATACAGGTGAACATCACTTCACACCTGGTATTAAAATGTGTGTCACATGACAACTTGTCATCAGATCTCACTTCTCTGCTTTTTATGCAAATAAA